AAGAGAGGTTGGTTTCTGCGAGCTCACGCGGAGCTTTGGCACGGCTGCCACGAGACGACTCTCGCGGGCCGTCTAAATTCTTTTGGAAGGGGGTGGGAGGGTGAATCGGGGGGAGAGGGACAGAGAAAGAGCGAGACACACACTGGCGAGAGTCTGTGACGCGCTAGTTGGAAGCTCCGGCCGCACCGGTTGGCAAACCAAATTTGGGACCGGCGAAAAGAGAAGGGTCTGGAATATTTACGCCCCCGGGAGCTTTCTCCGTCGCGCTGCTCGGGCTTTTTGCAGTCGACCCGTGAGAGGAACACCCCAGCGTCGTCTCCATCCACCGGGACTTCTCGAAGACGTGAGTAGGCGAATACGACTTCTGCTTCGATTACTTTTTGTTGTTTTGTTTTTTTGTTTTGTGACGCTCGACTTTTTGATGGAGCCCCTTGTCTGCGGAGTTTTTCCGAAGACATGTGTGACAAGTTATCTGTAGACGCACCTCCAGTATGTTTGAACCATGTTTACTTTACATGTTTACTTCACATGTTTACATGTTTGCTTTGAACATGTCTGCAGGCTGTTTTTTGTATGATGTATCAGCAGCCTGACCTCGGCTTTGGGATGTAGAATCTAAAAAAAAAAGATATGGAGTAACACGCCTATGAAATAAACCAAAATGGCGCAATATCATAATATACCCGTATGACGTACGTATAGCTTATAGTTTGCAGTCTCTGAGATTAGAAGACCTGATTGGTTACTTTCTGTTTATAGGAAGGGAAGTCGGACACTTTTAAATTAGGTTTCGCCTATCTTCTGTAGGCATCACGTTTGTCCAACTTAGTACGATCGCTAACCTGGGGTCTTTAAGCTGTGTCACATCATTTGGTGATTTCGAATGTACGCGCTAGTGAGACGACCTCCCGTATGAAAGTACCCGAAGTATGTCGCGAGCAGTGCTATCTTATTTGTGTTCAAGTTATTTTCATATTTTAGAGACCGGAGGGGTCGAGGCATAAGCACAGGGAGACTGAATTCCAGATCGTTATTGTATGATGTGTGTACGGAGTGCGATACACCTAAGACAAACAAACCATCGCCGCTTTTCTGTCACTTATAACATAAAGGTTTATTGTACGGGATGGGAAATTCTCAGTTGGGACACGAACCTGCAGCTAAAGGCAATTCGCAATTCCGGAGGCATGCATTTCATAATCTTTCCTCTGTTTCGCATTTCGAACGCCAAGCCAATATTTTGCTGCGTACTTGCAGAAACGGTAGTTCCACGCTTCTTTCCTTCACGTGTTTTCCGCTAGGTGGCAAATGAGGGGAAGCGCAGCTGTTGTGTTCGCGCTAACTGTGTCGTGCAATGCATGCATGATTTCATGAAAACAAAAATTATACTGTGACAAAAAAAAGTTTTTAAATAAACATTCAACAGAGCGTTGCTACTGACGCTATCCAGCATAGTGAGGATGTAACAAAATATGTATTTTTTTTTACGTAAGAAGGACTATAATTTCGAGATGAAACTTCATCATTACACCAGACGAATGAACCGATAGGTAACGTTCCCATGCAAGTAAAAAAAAAAAAAAGATGATTTGCCTATGATTAGACTAAATTCACGCGCTTGCCATTAGAGGAACTCAAAAAGTTATAAAGGGAATGACTAGATAGTACCGTCTCACTGGCGAGCTTGTTGACGTTATAGGTGAACTAGTAATAATATAAAAGATTGTAAAACTTTTGTAAGACCTTAGGTTTAAAAATTATATTGGAAGCGTTATACGAATAAAAGGCTATTTCATCAACATACACATTTCAACGGGTTTCGGACTTGCTTTAGAATAGCTGGATTTATTCTTTGCAACGTCACTTCACATCAAGCCTTGTTCATTTACGTCCGCTAAATCGGTTGACTTGTTTCACGGAACTAAATACTAACTTGTCGAGGTGTGCTTCATTAAGAATTGTCAAATAATGCTTTACTACAGAAACGAATGTGCCGAAATGGTGATGGGAAACCACTTGTTGATAGTGCGTACCCGTGTACGGTAGTCACTTCATTGCTGGCAAAGGTTATCTAAGTCATTGAAACCTGCATTGCTTTGAAGTAAAATCGTAAATTAAAACTTATTATGAATGGTAACGCTTGCAACTCATAATATTTATTGCCATGAGCAAAACAAGAAACGTGGGGCGGCGTTCATTGATAACTATTTTCCTAAAAATAGATGGAACAAGGGGCCCCTCTCTTGCACGAAGTGTATGTTTACCGTACAGTCGGTTGTCGAATTTCGTTTTTTGTTGAGCTTTGGTGTTGAAGGTTTCTAGGAAATGGTGTATTTATTTACTTTGGCAAGTACCCACAGATTCCTCGCTAACTCCGTCCAACCCAGCTCTGAGTCAGATATCTGTAAAAAATATTTAAAATAAAGCTACCACTCTCAGCCCGACCCCTCCATTTCGTTCCACTGGAATTGAAATAATGACAACATGTTGATTTGTAAACTGGGGCATTAAATGTGTTTTGGCGCCCTGTATGTTCTTCTTAATACCGCTGTGAGAAGACCTCGAACGTAAACTGTGAAAACGTCGACTTTACCTGAAAGAACAATTTTTTTTTTTTTTTTTTAATGTAGCCAACCGTATATCTGTAGGGATTTGTAGTAAAAACACGACTCCGGAGGCAAGTTAGTTAATATGTCCTGGAGCAGACAAAATTCTTATCGTCATGTCTGCTAGACCCGACGTGCAGCTAAATAGGATGAAATTGTCAACACTGAGTTGGATAAACATTTTTAAAACCCAAGACGGACGCTACAAAGAGGGAACAAACACAAGACGTCTTAATCTTAAACCAGTTAGCCTGCCTTATTACGCTATCTGAGCTGGATGTTTAAAAACGGAAATACAACAGCTTGTTGGGAGTCCTAACTTGTCACATAGGCTCGCGAGAGTGACTTTTCCAGCAACATTCTAGCACGTGTTTTCGTTTTTTAGGGCAAACGCAGTTTACGTTGAAGGCGCACAACGACGTTCGGAGAAAAAAAACTATTTAAGCACAGACCGCGGTACCGACACAAACTGAGCCGGGTGCAATAGCGAGGGGAAACCGGAAAACTGGAGACGAGGGTCTTACAAACGCAAGAGATAATGACGAAATGACTACAGTTCAAGTGTCAAACCCAGATAGAAGAAAACATATCGGCGTGGTCTGCACTAGTCAACACTTGTTCTTGTTCCCTGGCCCTAGTTATTTTAAAGGGGACCGTAATTGGAGGGCTATGAATATTCCCCAACTGATGTGCGCTAGATTGCCCACCGGAAAAGAGTTGTGTAACCTCTGCAGGATGAGTAGTTTTTTTGTTTCTGATTCTGACTAAGAAAGAATGAACCCTGCAAGCTGGGTATTTGAAGTTGGGTTTATGATTATTTTATTTCGGGTATAAGTGGAAGATTCATACCCGTGGACAAATTTCTGTGGACTTTCAGAAAACGGAGAGTGAGCGTGCACAGCCCTGATCGACGCTCAAGGTGCTCGAGCGCTTGTGCGCCCATGGCTTTGGACGTTGTCCGCGGTTATAGTCCAGAGGGACATCGTTCATTATATATTGCGTTGCCTTTTCATGAATAAATAATACCGAAAGATTGAAAGACTATAAAGAACGGATATTGCGTTTATATTAATGATTGTTCGCTCGCTTTCGTGAAGCGCAACTCAACGTTTTGCGCCATTGTTGTTTTCAACAACCTTACTACGGAAAGTCTTGACCGTGTATCATAGACATCGATCGTCGATTCCATGCTATCAAAATAAACGAGGATATATTTTAACTTCTTCTGTACGCTTCGAACACATCTGCGACAGTTTTCGTCTGCAGATATGTTTTTGTACACCTTTGACAGTGTTTGCATACTTTCTTTTGTACGGGTGAGCAGTGCGAACGTGGTTTAATAGACAGTTTTAGTCGACCGTACTCTAAACATCTGCGTACGCAAAGAAATTGCGGGTCGGGAGTGCGCATGCGCAGAAAGCAATAGAAGGACTAGTGTATTGGGTACGCACGCAACGCCGGGGATTTTGCGTGGCGGGCTGGTGGACTTTGCGGGAAGCTCTCGAGAGATCTCGGGCCCAGCGAGAGCGCCAGTTTCAAGATGGTGGTTACCTCGACCAACGCAGCAAGGGCGACGTGGTGTTCACGAAGTTGAGTGTTACGTTGAAATTCAGTGGTGTCCAGCTAGGCAGTTCTTATACGGGACCAACCGCGGCCGAATCAGATCTCCTTCTAGCAGAAAGAGTGCGTAGTGAAAATTTTCACCGCTTGCAATGTGCGTGAACGCTGCACTCTGAACAACGCTAAGGCTCTTCGCGAAGTTCATTACCAACAAACAAACAACTCTCACAAAAAAACACAAAAAAAACCCCGAAGTTGCCGTTGTTTACTGAACATCGGTAGGTGATGGATTTCTTTTTGCGATATAGCATTGATAAAAGGTGCCGTTTTCACAGGACGACTGACGGAGGCTCCGTAATCGAATTGGGCTGCGCATTCGCGCTCATAGCCTCCGTATACGCACAGAAGAGCGCACTTGACCAGGCAGCTCTGGCTGGGTTAAATTTGAAATAAAATGATCGTAAACGTTTCCATTTTCAATATTCATTTTGAGGAGCATAGTGGCGCTATAACCATGCGGATTTCTACGGCTCTGGCAAATTTAACCAATGTCATGCGAGGTCTTGACTCGGAAACGTAAAGCACAACTAAAATCGGTCCGAGCAGGTTGTTTTTAGCGTACGCTAAACTATTGTGTACTGCGTAAGTAAGAGTCAGCAACGCAATACTAAAACTGTCGAATACTAACTTATGCCGATCGAGCTGATCTTCTATAGAAAACTGCGAATAGACTCGGAGCGTATTCCCGCTTTGAATAGTATTGTATTTCCCTGTTATTGCTTATCGGATGATCCCGGATTCTCATCTTTTAACATCCGATCCTTGCAGAAGTGCCATGTCGTACCGCATCAGAACAACCCCGACCCACACGACCACGACCATTCGTCGTCGAGTCATCGAGACCGATGCCGACGACTTCTTCGACTTCCCCAAGGCCCGCCCGTCCTCCAAGGAGTTCACGACGGTGCGACACCGGGTGACGCCCTCTGGCCTGGTGACCACGACCACCACGACCACTACGACGCCCCGCAAGATCATCCGCGACGTCAGCCTGGACGGCATGGACGCGGACCCCTTTTTCGTCCACCACACGACGAACACTCGAGGCGACAGGGACGACATCGAGGACTTCTGCGTCCAGCTGGACGTTGGCCTAAGCTTCAAGTGTGACGACATCTCGGTAAGTCCTTCACGTACTTCACCTATGGTCCTCCAAACCACGGCCGCTTGACCGCTGCCGCTTCTCTACGGCCTGCCGCTTCACCAGGACATGCATAGAAACAATGGGAGTGCTGAGTTTCAAGAGCTCGTCGCCATGGAGGCGTGGAACAGCGGTCATGAGCAAAGATTTTGCCTTGATCGAGACTCGCCGCTCCCGCTCGTTCAAAATCGGCCGCTGTGACCCCTATCCAGCACCATTAGGCTCAGTGCCACTCACTGTGGTGGCCTTGAAAACCTTCGTTTCCCCCGGCAACAGAAGTCGCTCGACTGGCCTTCTCAAGTGGAACCCAAACCAGAATTGAGCGGCCATGTTAAGACTCTCCAACATAGGGTGTCTCGATAAACTTCATGTCGTCTGTCGGGAACATAGAGGGTCAAACAATAAGGATAACAACTGGATGTTCTGCACCAACGCAGTACGCTACATCTCGGGGTCTGTATATATACCCTTAAAAAATGTAAAGACATTGCGATTGAAGCTCTGGAAGATACTTTTTTCAATTGGTACCCCACAACGGGATACACCTCCGAAGTCATAGAACCCGCGGTTTTACGTTAGACACCGCTGCGGCATTACTATCAATTGCAACTGCGCCTGGCCTGGGAATTAAACTAGCTTGCGCCGGGTACATATTTGATCATTTGTATTTTAGGTAAATGTTAGTTTAAGGAGTCCCCGATGGCGAATTGATTCACATATTTTTTTTCAAGACTTTCGCTTTTATGGCGATTGAAAAATTATAGAACTAGATGTCTCACGTCCAGCTGTCAAGGACAGTACAATGCTGTAGTTTTGCTAAGGTTCCAGCACATTCATCAGTGCTACGCCTTACAAAGCATTTCAAGCTTTGTATGGCAGGACAAGAGATAATTTCCCGCAAACAGTTTTCTTATACTGTAATTAAACGCTTTGCTGATAGGAGTATATTTTTCTTACCTTACCTCGGGGTGAAGGAGTCCCTTGGTCTTATAATTTTGTAGCCAGCAATGCAGAAAGTCTATCCAATGCTCCAGAGAGGGAGGATGATGAATATTTTTGTTTATTTTATTTGTGTCCTGCGCTAAGAATGCGTATCATGTAATGATACGCACAATTAAAGCGCTTTTTTTCTAGCCTTTCAGACATGCTAATGCCGCTGTATATTTATTTTTAAATGATGTATGTCCGATTTCTACGGTTCAAAAGAAATTACAGACATGCAAATATCTCCATCAGTATTAGTTTCCCGTCAAATGCATACAGCTCTGTAGTTTAAGACATGCAATCCTTATAAAATTCAAATATTTTATCTCTTCAAAGTTTTTCACCGAACCGAAAAGAACGAAATTCACATAATTCAGGAATAATTGCGTTTTTCTCGACTTGACTGAAAACGATAAGGAAAAGGAAAGTTACCCATTATTGTATAAAAATGAAGCACCTTTTTACGTTACCGAAACACAGGGTTGACATCAAACCTTCGTGTAACACAATACTTGTTTCTCTTTTTTACACTAGAGCACGTGAAAGAGGGACTCGGCCCAAATGCTCAGTTATCTAATTACACCGATACTTCCCTGACATTCTGGACCACGCTAGTTCTTCGTATTTTTCCTCTGATCGCGGGCTGTCGGTATCGCGTACTACAAAGACTGGAACCATCGTATATAAGCAGAACACTAAAATGCCTTTATCCAGTGCTTTATAAACATGAAAAGTAGATTCTGAACGCCAGCTAGCCAAAGTAATAACAATAAAAAAATTGACTGTCACAGACATTCCGTCTAATGCGATGAAGGTGCGATTGCATTTCATAGGGTTTTTCACTTCTATAGAAACTCGGTGCAGATATTTCCCAGCTAAATTTGTTGTGAAAATCGTGACGTCATGTCACGTGACACCATGACACCACGCGATATTCTGATGAACGTTTCGTTGTTCCTTCAAAAGAATACCTGCACTCTTTGTTGGATGCATTTCCTTTATTTGTTTATGGCTCTCAGAGCTCTGACCAAAATCCGTGACGTCACCGATTTCAGGTGAAGACCAGGGCCGGCCTCGTGTTCGTGAACGCCAAGAGGACCGACGGCAGCGTGACGCGGGAGTTCAACCGCAAGATCCCGCTGCCGGACGGCGTGGACCCGCTCTGCGTCCGCGCCCTGCTCAGCCCCACCGGCACGCTGATCATCAAGGCTCCGAGGAACTTGTCCAACAGATACACCAGCAGCATCTATGAGCGCCACGTCCCGGTCCGCATGGGCCTGTACTAGGTGTCAAAGCGGTCAACAACACTCTTGAACTCGGTAGCGGATAGGCTGGTTGCGCTTATTGTGGTAACGCATGCTTTGGTAACGGATATGATTGTAGCGGTTACTTTGATGGCGCAGACGCGGTACTGCGTGCGTCGGTAAGGATATGCTTAAGCCTGGTGGCAGATACGACGGTAGCATTCGCTGGTGCCGGATAATGCTCAGATATGTTGTAGGGCATTAGCATGTAACGCTTACGTCGGGAGGGAATGCGCTGTTAAAAGTTACGCTATAGAAGTTTTCTGAAGGACCTAGTTCTCCAGGAGCTCGATCTTAGAGCGGAAACTTTTTTGTACCTTATATCTGTTATGCGAGATACTTTATTATAGTCCAATATGCTTTATGGTATTACCGTGCACGATTATATTGATATTTCTTATGCATTGTTTGTTCATACCCAGGTTATGCACCGCGCAGATTGCTCACTATTTCAGTTACCGTTAAATGGGTTACTAATGCATGCTTCAAAGGTTATCCGCTGCCGAGTTCATCGCACCCTGTAAAAAAGAAGAAATACCAATCAATAAAACGTCCCGAACTTGGATGTTTCACAAACACATTAAAAACAAATATACAAGAGACATCTGAAACTACCCAAACGTGTCTGAAACAAAAATTTAAGCCTTCTGGAGCGCGTTTGAAAGAAGCAAGCTCGAAAAATTTTGAAGTTCTGGAGGTTCCTAAAACGTCAGGCCCTGTTATACGTCTCTCTAAACTTCTGTGATCTCGCTTTTAAAGCGGCTTTGCCGTTTTTGGCAGAAGTAAAATGTTTGTTTCTCTTACCAGTGGTTTGTCTGAATTACTTTTTGCTCTGTTCATGCATGAAACTTCTCAAAACAGACCGAATAAACGGCGACAATGATTGAGATTGAACCGAATGAAACAACTGTGAAGCATCCCAAATACTACCATGCTTTGCCCCTAACTACGGGACATTTCCTACATATACACTCCGTGCGACGCGACCGGCGCGCCGCCGCGCGGCCGTTACCGAAGGCAGGCAGTGAGAGGCCCAGCGAAACGAAACCACGCCGCGTACATTGGTACGCATTGAAGTCGGAGTGGTGCGATTTCGCTGGGTTGACAGCATGAACTGCTGCGTCGTTAAGTGCTCCAACAGTTATGCGTGGTATCTCGTGGGGACGAAGTTTCAGTTTTTCACCTCGCCGATGTTTTGTGGGACAGCGACAACGATGGACCCGCGCCGTACTACGCGAGAAATTTGGTCTCCCGATCATGTCTGCCACTGTGTCGGCACGGCTGACATATACTAAACTGCCGCTTTGCGCTCTGCGTTTGTTTTCGTACAAGTAACGCTTACATATCTCAGCTCGAACTGAAATGCCATCCCACACTCGCGGGTACACTCTAAAAAAAGCCCGTGCATCCACTTTCCGGCACTATACTCGGAGGGCCAATCACGGCAACTTACGAAGGCAGCTAGGCGAATGACGACGGCTTTTTCTCGGCTTTAGAGCCACCTATCGCAAAGTTGTTCGAACTGGAAGTCCCGCCCACTGGTCCCTTCCTACCTGTGAAGTGTGCACCTCTCGGCCATGATGAGTGGTATTCTCTTGACAGCCTTTGACGGTCAAAACTGGTTCTTATTTAGTTACGCCACCCAAAAACTTTTCCACCTGGTTACACTATGCCACCTCTTTTAGGTATAATAAGTGTTTTGTCAAGTTACGGTTGTCCAAGTACCTATGTGCCGAAAATCAGCACCTCACACAATCAGATTACTACACAACAGCTGACCGCAAAAGCCTTTGACGGCCAAACCGTGTGTTGGGCGGCAACTTGGTTTCCTCGGCTTTGAAGCCACCTTTCGTATAGTTGCTTCAATAGGAAGTACAGTGCACAAGTCCGTCGGAAGCCTTTATTCACTAAAATTCTGCCCGGTATTTCAAAAGAAAAGAGGAAGAGAGGAAAAGAGTTTTTTGTGTCTTAATTTGTAAGCCAATAACTAAGACACCGCAGGACCAAAGGAGAAAGGGAAAACATTATATCTGTTTATAAAGGCGAACGTGTCAACCTGGATTGGTACGCCTTCTGTTTTTCGCGCGGAAGGAGCCGAAAGGCGGAAAAATAACGGCGTAGAACAGGAGTGGGTGGACAGTGCTGTAAATCTACTACACCTATTACCGCAACTCATGCAGGATTTGGCAAGCTCTGTTCTTTTGATGTGGCCAGTGGAATGGTAGTGCGTTATTAGCTACTGCATGAGTGCCTATAATGCTTGAGAAGAAAAGTATTCCTGTCAACCGATACATTGCCCGTTCCCTTCCCAGCCTTTCTCTCCTACCCTCTGCTCTCATTCAGCTTTGGTTTAATGATTAATCCGTTTCTCTTATAGACCTTGAACCTTTTGAAGCTTGTAAGATGAAAGTAAAACCCTGAAGATTATTAATTATTTGTCGCATTCATATCATTTTCGATTTTGCCAACTTCAAATCAATCCTTTCATGCAAGTGCAAGCTGGCACAACCGGCGCTGAAGCCTCTTGATATGTTTGCCAACCTGGTCACTTATATCTAAAGACGTTTGTTGCAAATTAAAGTCGATCTTCAAACGAATAGTAGATTAGTCAAACCCTATTAGTCACCTTTACATCAACGACCGTTTGTCAGAAGTACACGTAGACCTCCCCGATGAGCTCGGAGCGGTGACGAGGGCGAGTGGCATCCCTAACAGCATAAAAAAAAAAAAAAATAATAATAAGCAGCACACATCAAATGTACTGAAAGTATACTTAGTAATTATAAGCCCCTATTTTACGGGCAATTGAATGGACTTCAGGAGGAACTACTTGAAAGAATTAACAAACCAGGGCACGCACAGCGACCCGCGCAGTTTCAAAACCACGAGTCGATTCCACTAACTAAGCTACGCTTCAGGCTAAGTACACTTCCGCCAAATACCTTGCTTCCGCTATTGGGGTGCTTAAAATCATTTTCACCAGTTATCTGGCAACAATTATCTGTTACTGAAAATAAGCTTGATGTGAAATCGCAGGAAAGCGTTTTTCCTTCCTCCAGAAACGTAAGAAGCAGCCCGTGACAGGGTGACACGATGTCGCCTAAGCTTCCTGGCACCACGCACGTAAACCTTGGGAAATCGAAATTTCAATCTGTAACGATCGCCAAGTTGCATCCGCTCTGTGAGAAGCACCAAAATGGCGGCTTCTCCAAGAAAGTCGGGTAATGGAGTGCCGATACTCAAAGCGTATCTCTAGGCTCTCCGATTTTCTTAAGTCCTTATTATGAAAAAACCAGCTGAACTAAGGAAAAGGTAGAGATAGAAAGAAAGACACCCGATCGCTGGACTACCAACTGTTTTTATATATAAACCTCCTCTTCATCCTCTTCCTTTCCTTCTGCATAATTCACTTCGTTCCCCCCTTTTCCCCTTTGTTTTACGTTTTATTTTACAAGATGTTGACCCCCTCGGAGAAATAGTTTTTCGGTGCGCAACAAGGTGATTGAAGGTGCACTAACACACCCATCTCCTTTTTCTTCTATGGCAGCAGCTTCTAACATCTCCCGCGCGAGCTGGCTTTTGTGGCGTGCTACGATGTTAAGCGCGAGCTTCGCCGTGCACTTGCATGCTCGGCAATGCGCAGATAGGTGCCCCGGCGCTGTCAGGTTCTTTAGGTTGGCTGCGTGCTCACGTGTACGCTCGTTGATGCTCTACCTTTTCCTTAGTTCAGCTGGTTTTTTTCATAATGAGTAACCAACTAGCTCAGATTACACCAATCGTTTCTTAAGTCCTTCGGTCTGAGGGCATTTGAATTGCCCGTGAAACATAATGGGCATTTGAATTGCCCGACCTGTCGTGTTTGTTCCTTTACTCTTGTCCAAGTTTCTTTGCCGCTGTTTCTTCCCAAGATGCTTACCTCAAGCCAACTAGCCCAACAGGTCACATTGTTGCGTGATGCATACGTACTTTTTTCCTCAAAGGTATTCTTTTGGCTTTCATGATGCAATTAATGTATTAATGATACTACTAAATTTGTTGAAGCCATTACCCTCTTTTTATCTAACCTACCTAGCTAGCTTACAGTGTTATAATTGTGTTTACTGTTCTATTTGTTTTTGTTCTATTGCCACCCCCTTGTATAATGCCCCACGGGCCCTCAAGGAAAATAAATGATGATAAATGATGAAGAGAGCTCTCTTAATCCGGGGGTTACACTGCTCATAGATCATACAAAAGACACGAAGTTCCTCTGCACACATGATGAAGGATTTATCGGCGGACACGCCTCGGGCACGTTCGATGTCTGTTTGCTTCATACATTTTGTATGCTGTGAATATGTCTGCAGGTAGTTTTTGCATGACCAGTCTGACAAGACCCTCATACAAGGAAGACACGCGCAAGAGAGAGTCTCTGCATACTGTCTTTCGTATAATGCATTGCCACTGTGACCGCAGCCTTAAACAACACAACAATAAGACACAGGTCTCAACTAATTGTACACCCGTTTTTTTTACCTTACAGTGCACTTAGTGTCAACCGCTGCGATGTACGAAACTATAGGGTGGCTCAATCCGACCTTCTACTGTAAAACGAGGTGGAAAAACCGGCGCCTCCACATAGCAAGTTCGAACTTCCAACGAATGTGTACTGAGCAGGTCAGTTTTAACGTGTAAAACTTAAGGGCCTAGTTCCCTGAACGTAAGAAACAATGAGACCGACGAACTTGCTAGAGTACACGCTGAGAGCGCTCGCAGACGTCCGAGTTAGTGACGCTATAACTTGCGACGCCATCTCCGGATACTATCGGGAGATGGCGTCGCAGCGAGCAGACAACAGAATGCGTCGTCTACTCGGCGCGCTTATCGGGAGATGGCGCCACAGGTAAAAAGCTTCACCCTCCTTGAGCGTCACTAAGTCGGTCGTCTGCGAACACTCCCAACGTGGACCTTGGCAAGTTTGTTGGTCTCATTTTTTCCAGGAACATAACTAAGCCTTTAAATTTCACAAGGCAAAGCTTACCTGCTCGGTGCACTTTCGGTAAATGCATGAATTTCCTATATGCAGGCGCCAACTTTCCGCGACAGATCCGCTTGTGTCACCCTATATGTCTATACAAACATATAACGTCTGCGATGTTACAATGAGCCTGAAAAATCGCAGATTTCTTTAATTTTATGTATAAGCATATTGTCGGCCATCGTCGCTCGCCGAGTTTCTTCGTTGATCACAGTAATTGATTTCACGACTGCTCAGGGGAAAAAGTAGACGCAGGAGAGTTTTGAAGTGTGGTGCAAAATAATTATTAAAACTGCATGTAGGCCCAGCATGTTGAGATTATTCGTGAGGCGAAAGTAAAGGAGCAAAAAGGGAAGAATTGAACAGCGCGAAGAACAGAGCTTGAGAGGGACACTGACAGGGTATTTATGCTCGCCGAGTTTTCTAGTTGTACATGATATGTAGGGTTGTTTGTTTTCGGGTAAAACCCGATTTTACCCGATTTTTACACCCCGAACATGTTTCAGGAGAATCGGGTCAAACCCGATTTCTCCCCGACTTCCAAAACCACATAACCAACCTATTTATTTTTACGCCGCACGGAGTTTGCGGTGCACACACGCTAGCTACCCTACCTCGGGACAACAGTGACCTATAGTTCATTTCGCAAGCTGCGTGCAGCACTGTGGACGCTACACGGCTCTCAACCAACCGTCCAACGAGCGCGCCAAATTCACCGTGACATTCTACGGAGGCCGGCTGAAGAAAAGCGACAATAGGCGTTGGGGCCTCAGAGGGACATTTCCG